GAATTTCAATTATTCCAATTATACGTGTATGAAACTGTGTTACTTTTTTAAATGTGCTTCTCGTTTTGATCGCAGTTTTGGCACTGAACCGATATTTAATGCGCAGCTATGCCTTTTTAACTGGAACTCGTAGATTTTGTACACAGCTCTACTGAAAAAGCAGAGTAAGTTGTGGTAAAGTGCATGAAATGTTCCTATTTTGATCAAATCAAGATTATCAAGATCACTCCGACAATCAGTGTGAACATCCCATGTTTGTGATGTTATTAGGATGTATCCATACGTTGGCGCAACTATGTCAAGCCCTTCGATCCTGAGAGATCGGCAAAATTCTAGGGATTCGTTGACAAGATGCACATAAATCACCCATAGCTAGGGGAGACAGCCATGGGGACAACTACCTAATACAGTTTTGGGAGATCATTCCGAAGAGTATAAGTGTGAGTGTGAAACCGTTAATTAGGATAAATTTGATGAAAAAATAAAGAAATTTTTGTGCTTTTTTTAGCTGCCTTTAGGGAGAAGTGCTAAATCATATCACATTTCCTCCGCTTTCATGAGCTTTTTCATCCTATATCTACGACTGACTTTTACACTACCTAAAGTTACCGCCAACCGATGAGGAATTGGACTGATACCGTGCAACTGCGCAGTCAACGAATGCGAATTGAGTAACAACCATTCCGCAACAGAATCAAGGATCAACAGGCAGCCGAAGATTTCATTACATGGTAACCTGCATGACACCTGCCCTATGTGTGGAGGTATTTGGAATTACAGTAAAGTTGCGCTAACGGCGCTAGAATTGAAAATACCCGTTAAATAACAAAAAAGAAGTGCTAAATTGCGCTAAAAAGGACGAACTTCTCGTACTGTTCACTGTACAGTAAATTCAATGATTCGCTGGCATAAGTGAAGTGAAAATGTGCTGCTCGTTGTGCTGCATAGCTTTTAAATAGCAATTGCAATTGTCCGTTTTGAATAAAATCTTCAATTTTCGAGAAGTAAATCCGTATACCACGTTTGAAATAAATCGAACAATTATTTGGACTCAGCTAAAATCACACTAAAATAAAAACTATCGAAAGTGCCGATCCTTTAGCAGGCTAACAGATTCGTAGCGCTCAATTTTAATCAGACAAATGCAGTGCATTGTTTTCTCGAACTGTCTGAAGAGGCCGTGGTCTGTACCTCACCGCTCCTCAATACTACTTAATCCCTCGTTATTCATGCACCACAGCAAAGTGTATGGGCTAGAATTTTGTGGGAAATTTTAAAGAAGCGTTAAGACTGATGCCGCAATCATAAAAAAAAATTAAAGTCAGGCGAAACAAAATATGATTGACAAATAATTTTTCAACACATCGAAAGGTCCAATAAATTTGTCTTTTTTCCAGTGTCCAGCACCAAAATCATCATCAAGTTCGCTATCAAGAGATGCAGCACTGATTAAAAGCAATTGGAGAATTTAACAACTGCATGGATAGAGAAACAAGCCATAAACTGGAGCTGATCAAAATATTGGAATGGTAACTGTGATGCACTGTAATTGCGTAAAGCGCTGAATTAGCAAAAAGCAGTAATTATTAGTGATGCGATTAATTCCAGTCACAGAACATTTTATAGCATATTATAGAAGGGTCGTTAAAGAGTTGATTTTATGGCGAGACTTACAATAAAACTGTCAACTTGCGGTTCGATCCCAAATGTAGTGCACTCATTCGCTTGCCCCGAACAGTTTTGCACAAGCAATTTTTTCACCGTTGAAGGATCGTGTGACACCTTTAGTGAACCACATGATAACTTTTTTGAGCTTTCAGCAAATGCTTGGCCACCTAAAATATGCCTTATTTTGATTTCGCCTTTTTTACTGGAGAACGAGGTGGAAGAAGAGGACAAAGGAGTTCCATGACTGTACCTCACTAAAATCGGAAACTGCACAAACGAAATTCAGGCCGTCCTGGCGAAGAAAATTTGTGATGAGACTAACTTTTCACTAATCTTTTTCGTAGATAATTATCGAATGGGGAAGCCGTTGAATATTTCGCTTTGCTTAATTCATTGCATAATACCGCATCTCTGTAATGTGAAATTTTCATTGCTCTTTGAGAAAATAACCGCAAAGCCGTTGTTGAGCCCTCCGGCATGGTAGCGGTGAGGTAACAATAGCTCCAGCTTTACTCAGTTAACAGTTCCCTTCACTTCTGGACTCGACAAGCTACCCATTGTACCACCGTCCTTGTGCTTCACGTGCTTTTCTAGAGTACCTGTATTCCGCATGGCACTCCCACACATACCTTGTACCGCCTGGCTGTTACAGCTTGTGTAACATACCTTTTCAACAACTACCGACTTTTCGCTGGTTTTCCGCAACGAGCTGCAGCAGTGAACGATTTTCAGGCAGTGGCTATGCAAAAATTCAGGAGACAGGAGAGGAACAAATATTAATACTGTCGTTTCGTCTCAAGGCCTCCTTGAGGTTCTCAAGTAAATTTAAAAATCACGAAAATAATTACGAGTAGCTTCGGATGTTCGTGTTTTCTGGGTTGAAAAGATAAAGGATAGATCGATTATAGCATGAAGCCAGTGAATTAGCAAATTAGTTAGTGGTCTTTCAAGTATCATAAAATATGATAGAATCAAATGAAAGGACAAAAGAAAAAAAAAGCCGGAATACTTTTTCATAATAATTTGTGATTCTGCGACGGTAAAAGCGCTGTAGAAATTTTTTAGGCTACATTCAGATTCCTGAAACAATTTTCCTCTTAGTTCTCGGGATTGTTTTCAGTCTCTGTCATCTACCTGAACTTTTCAAACCTACTTTTCATTATATTCCTTAATTATTCATTTTTTCACCCATTCCATTCCTCCGTTCCAAATCACTCCGTTTATCTTCCACCAGTGATCTTTTCAGCTCTACTTCTGTTTATGCCTATGCAGCTTTTGTTAACCTACAATTGATGCTCCGAAGAGACGATATGACTACAGAACAATGTGCTTTTGTAAGCCCCCTAGTGAGGTATCCACACAACACGTTACTGCTGAAGTGCATGTATAAGCGAACATGGAAACGTCGTATCAGTAAGCAACCACAGACGGAAATGTTGTATCGGAAATGTTGTATCAGCAAAAACAGCATGAAAACAGAAGCAGCTAAGCGCTGTGCAAAGGAAAACCTTCAGGACGGTAGGTTTTTGTGAGTAACAAAATCCGAGTGTCATAACAAAGTTAGCAACAACTGTAAGCATTGACAGATCTCTGCGCCAACCCATCCAACATAACAAACACCGTAAAAAAACACTGCCACCACATGTGAAAAAGCGCTATTTTATAGAGTTTTAGAAAATCTGCATATTTCTAAAGAAGCTGGTAGCTATTTGGGTAAAATTCAAAGCTGAAAATAATGACATCTAAGATCTGAATAGCCACAGCTAACGGACGTGAACGATTTTAAGAAATATGCAAATTTTTAACTCTTTCCTTTTGACATGCTATTAAATTTATGCAACTTCCCGGAAAACAAAGCTATCTGCTGCTATATTAACGGGCTGGGCGGATCCAAGGAGGAGGCGGGAAAATGGGTTAAGGGGTCCTTCGCCCCCCTCCCCCCGCACAGGAGCTTAGTTACTAATTGTTTTATTGTAGAAAAGTGTGTTCGGTACCCCTTGTTCCCCCTTCTCCGTAGTAAACCACTTGATCCGCCTATGATTGCTGCTGTTGGCAATTCACGTCGAAACAAATGAATGAATTTTAAAAGATTTGGTTGATGAACATAGCAGCATTATTATATTGTCAATAAATGCAGCAAAGTCAGCTGAACTGAATGTTTTGCATTTTTTGTGGAAAAAAATGTCTTCAGAAATGCTTTTCTCTAAAACGCTCGAAGCCAAAAATAATAGGATCAAAGATAAGGAACCAGTCTAAACGTCATTTTTAATCAAGACTTTAGGATGCAGTCTGTACTTCAAAAATGTCCTTGGTGTGGATTTTCAGTTGAAGCTAACATTCAACATCATCAAAGAAACTGCCGAAACCACACGAAGAGGGCGGAGTAATTTCTTTGTCATTTTACTGGAAAATAACGAAATGGGCTCTGCTTTTTGAGCGAGTGAGAGCAGTGAATCACTTGGAAACTGGAACCCAATCGATGTGCTGACAACGATTTTTTTACCAAAATAAGTTTACAACAAGGTGAAATTGGTTAGATGTTCTTTGTAGGGCTTGTAATTGGGGTTACGTAACAATAAGTAGACAGGGAAGTGAAGGAGCTTGTGTAAGCCTTAGGAGGGCCTCACTGCGTAGGTGTGGTACCAGAACATAGTGAACAGGAAATAGGGCCTAGAGCAAGCATGATACTGTCACTATCTTGTGCTTTGGAGCACTTATATTTTACTTGATATTTTGGTCAGCTGAAATGCGCAAAGTGATTTTTGAACTGTGTGGCTAATAACTTTTCCACTTGCTTTGACCGGTACTGCATAGCCCAGTAGTATATTAGCTGGTGACCCTGAAGTTCTCTCCTCCTGTTTTCCGCGTCGGCTATTATTTATTTTGGCGAACTGTTGATTGGCACTGTTTTACCTCTGGCAACTTATTTCTAGCACACGATTAAAGACTAAACGGATTTCGTCAATTGTCAAATCAAATCGGAAAACAACGCTAGTGCGAGGGATTTTAAGAATTTGACCAATACCAATGGGGAAAGTAGATGTTATTAGTGTCTTAGGACTGTCCCCCGTTTTTCCAAGTGCAGATAGCTCTACTAAACACCTCCAGCTAGTATCCACTGCCTCGATCAAAAGCATTTTTGAGTTAATTGATTCTGATTTTTCACCTCTACATATTCAACTTTTCCGGTCCACTTTCTTTCAATTTTTCACGGCGCGTTTGAAAAATCGAAAAGTATGAATAAGACTCGAGCAAGGAAGCAATTGTTTTTTTCAGTTTTAAATAAGTGCCACTGTTTTACAAGCGGTCTTCGGCGAGTTTTCTTCACCAGTTCTATTCACAATTTGTGTTTTACATCATCTCTATTCACAAATGGCATTAAGTTTTTTTGCAAAAAATTTTGGGTTCTGTTTAAAATTTCGGAAAAGAAATTTGGCGAATTTTTAGTGGTCAATAAATTTGAGAAAAAAAACTTCTGTTACTCCCAAAGCCTCATTTTGTCATGAGGGATGTTTATGAATTTGTAGAGTAGAACTAAATTAGTAAAGTAGAATCAGGAAGGCCAAAGGGGTTCGCCATCTTTTTCGGAAGACATTAGGCTGTAGACGTTTTTTTTTCTCAAATTGCTTGCGAAAGCCTGAAGGCAGCGAACAACATGATTAGCAGTGTCAGTGATGATTTAACATGACAACTGTAATTTTGATTTTCAGCGAATTTTTGACGGAAAAGCAGCAATGAAAATATGCTTGTAAGTTTCACATTTCCATTCAAGTGTTTTTTCTTTTTTTCCAATTTTCTGATAACAGTTCTAGGATTTATGACTAGGATGCGCCAATAGTCAAAATTCCTTCCATTTTCACTCGTTATGAGAAGCAGAGACACTCAGAAAAAAACAGTGACAGGTGTCAACAACAGTCATTCATTGACAGGGCTGTCAGTGAGCTCCTTTCGAGGATTTCCCTGATGAATCTGATGGCAGTTTTGCTTCATCAACTCTTGCAAGTATCAATTTGTCGTCGGAATGTATAAGCGAGTGATAAAATATTAATGTTTGTTACTTTTAATGTTAATTACAGGTTGTTCGCAGTATTCGTTGCACTTGCTGATGCCTTCAATTCGTTCAATGGAAATGTAATTGTCAGCAGCGGCCCGGGAGCGGCCATGGTAGGTTTCGTTCATTTTAAACTATTTCTACCAAAAAGCTTTTCATCTTTTGCATCTGATTATCGGAGAAAATTTAAGGAAAAATAAATTTTCTCAAGATTACGCTAAACTGTAATAACATTAACTCTTTCCTTCTCCTCATTTCTTCCAACATATATTATCCTGAATGCAACAGGGCGAAAGTACACGAGGCGCAGCTTACTTCCCTTTCAGATGCCAGTGTTGACGGGGAATGCGAATGGTGTGCTGGATCCAACGGATGGCTGGGGCAACGTGGTCGTCGTTAATGGTGTACCAATGATAATACCACGCGTACCGCTGGGACGATAATATCTCACTCAGTTCATATATGTAAAATTATAGACATGAGGTGTCCCGCATAAACTGGTACTACAGTGTACTTGGGAATCAGAATCGCAATCGAATTACTTCCAAAAAGCCCTCGAATGAGAGCACCATCGAAAAGGTTGTCAGCGAGTGAACGTTTTATGCTTTAAAGCTTCTTCTAGCAGTTGTGGCTCATCTTACCCGATCATTTTGTCTGTTAATTTTCTCTTTTTAGATCCTTGTTGCAGGCAGCCATTTCTTCCGGAGGGTTCCGGGTTGAGGTCCTACATTTCAAACCATACTAGCTTCAAAATTTTTTTTGCATTTTTGTAAAAATCTGCGTTTTTGTATAAATCATTAGATGTGTTTGCTGAAATGTTTCAAATCCGGAACTGTGGAGGCTAAGAAGATGGAATTTAACACCACAGGCATATGTGAATCCAAAAATATCAGAACAATTTTCACGTCCTCACTTTAAAGCATGGATTATCCTGGATTTCGCGTACGATTTGGTCTGTTAATAAAGTTTTAAGCGCAGTACGATAACACAATTTTTACCTACGGCTGTGTGGTGTTAGATGGCTGCATACAATAGAAATGTGGTTACTGCAGATTCGTAATGCGTAATCGAAAAAATTGCATTCCCATCGCGTTCATTCTTGGGATTGCAATAATTGGATGAAAGGCCACAGATCAGAACCGGTAAGTTTTAAAAGTTTGTTTCAGGTCAAATGAACTCAATTTTTTTCCTATATGACATTATGAACTTGCCATATTTGGACTATACTAAATTTGTGAGAAATCAGAAATAACAAAAAAAAACGAAGTTTAAACAAAATTAGGAATATAAAGAGGAAGTGTCAAACGCGTTAAAAGAAACAATGTTTTTAACAATAAACAGCAAATACGATGAACCAGCAAGAACACTTAATTATGCTATTATATCACAACAGTACGCTAATTAAAATACAATAAAACAGAAATTTCTTCTAATTAAAAACAGTAACAAAAATTATCATAAATTTTAGTCCACTGTGCACATTACTCATTGCCCAATTTGCTTCACTCTTATCTAGCGTTTGCTTATGGAATTAAGCTGCTGCTTTATGAAAGTTTCAAATGTCCATCGAAATTCTACAAAAACTAGGCCACACAAAAAGTTGTCCTGGATGTTAAGGCTAACACAACTGTTGTTCTTACGGATCAAACAAAAACAATGTCAGAAGGCACAACAAAACTGAGTGGTCATTGATATCACAAGCGGCAAATTAGTATGGCTTTGGACGGTCTCCTCCATGATCGGTTTTTACTGGACCAATGTTGTCGCCGTTGAAGAGAAGCGGTGCGCTAGGTGGCTGAAGGCATCCTTGCGGAAATCCGGGATTCGAGTTGCAGAATGGATCTGTCACCCACGAAAACATGCGCGGATCGGTTGCAAATCCGGAACCCCATCCTAAAATAAGAGAAATTTATCCCTGAAAACTTAAAAATTTTACTTTGTTCCTGCCGAGAAAAATTTGTTCAAAATGTGAGTTGCTTATTGTTGCTCCGACTGCTTTTGTACGAAGTTCTCTCTAAAATAAATGTGGTTTCAGGGAAGGGAAGTGCAAAGGGATTGCTAATAGACTAGTCAAAGCTACACTATAATATAGTACGTCTGGTGCTTATCTTAAGGAAAACAAAGAGAGAGAGCTGGGAAGTAAACGCTATTATTCCAGTGAACTGACACTAGTTCTGTTCACAACTTAGCGCTCGATGAATGGTGCATCCTGTGTGGCAAATCCACTAATAAATGTCGACTTTTCGCGGGGCTTTCGAGACAGTGAGGGTTTTTGCGTTTTTTACATTAGTTTTCGTCTGGTTGTTGTTTTCACATTTTTCTATTCGACTTCTCGTTTTTTTGGTGATTTTCCATCCTTGAATAAGTTTTGGAAGCAAGAAACAATCGAATACGGCTAAAAAGTTAAATGAGTATTCAAGTATTTAAGCGCCGTGAAAAACTGAGACAGGAAGTATTTTAAAATGATAAACAACCTCTTCTGCGTGGTCCTCTAAACCGATGAGCACCTCGATAACCGCCAGGGCCACCTCGGTTACTTTGATCAAAAAAGCCTCCTTGATCGGGGGTACCGGCGAAACCGAAAAAGCCAGGACCATTGCGATTGGCGAAAAATCGGCCACCAGCTCTTCCTCTGTTGATGCCTGCATATCTGCTTGAAATTCGTCCTCTTCCGCCGAAACCGACCATAAAGTTTTGCATACCTAAATGCTGCGAGTGATTTAAAGATCGCAGTGTAGAACGCACAGGAAACTCAGCAGCTGCGTACTGACAAGACCAGGGATCCTTTAAGGACATTATTATTAAAAAATTCTAAAGAATTAGGAAGAAGCACTGTTGTCGTAGGAAAGGTTGAATGTTCGATTTCATCACTGAGACGACCACTCCATTACGATTCAAAAATACATTCATTTCGATGGTAAATTGTCACTGGCATATGTCAAGGAGTCGAAATCGCCATCAATTAATCAATTCTCAAAGAGAGAGCTGCCGTTGACATGTGATACCACTAGAGCTATTCATGAGTGCGTTCGTTTTTCCTAGCGGAGGATTTCAATTTCAACTTTTAAATCGACAACAAATTCACAATTACGTCATCCTATACTTTTTCGAAATATTTCGAACAGTAGTATATTGCTCTCAGCAGTCATCCCGAGTGGCGAATCAATCAGTAATTTCTATTTACAAGGAATCTTTGGGAAGCATACTGAAGACCGGCTTATCCAAGGGAGCCAAAATACCGAAAAATCGAAAGGAGTTGAAAACGTCTGACTGTCAATTTGTAATTGTTGATTTTTCCTGTGGCTTTGAAACCAACGGCTACAGCTCAATGGTCAGAAATTTACCAGCGCAACAGGCGATTGCTTGCGGGTAGAACTACACAATAAATGCAACTTTTGATAGCTTCTTTTCTTTATCAGTAATATCAAATATGATGGAGCAAGCGTTTTTGTTGTCAGATAGGCTGATAACTGAGCCTGAAAAGATAAATGAAGAGATCAGGATACTAGCCTGCTATCCCAAAGCCAGCAAATCCATCGTTTCCGTTACCAAAAGGGCCACCTCGACCTGCTTGCCCACCGCCACTAAATTCATTGTTTATGCCACGCGAAGCACCTCGTCCCCATCCTCTGGCACCATAAAATCCGTAGCAGCCTCCCTGTGAAGCATCAGTGAAGCTGTCGCCTGCGCTACCAGAAGCATCGCTATGACTTCCGTATCCAGAACTATCGAGATTCCCGAAAACTTGTTGCTCAATGCCACCAGGTGTATTCCCAGCTTCGAGACTCTTGCACTTCTCGCTGTTCGGAATATATGAGTCTGCAACTTATTTTATAAATTTGGTGAAATTTTTCCCTCAAAAGTGGACTAAGGGATTGAATTTATTTTAAATGGCAACAGCAACCGCAGCATATCCAAGAACCATGCTTTGCAGGAGCTGTGCACGTAACAGCTACTTTTCTCCTCATTTGTAGATTTTTATTAAAAGATGTCTGTTACCAGCGAAACCAGGTGCCACTAAGACCAAGATTTCCAAAGCCGCTTTTATAGTCGTCGTGCTAATAGTTTTGCTTTTAAAATGCATCCTTTCACGAATGGAGTTATTTTTGCAAATGATTATGGACGGGAGAAGGATCGAATCTTGCATTTTCAACATCTCTGAATTTTTCGAAATGTGACATGCTATGCAATACATTACCGGCCTGTACGTTTCACGCAATATCTGTGCATTTTTATGTGTCTGTGATTTCCAGGTAAAGTGCTTTTGTATTGGCCATTAAGTAATGCAGAAGAAGCATCTACGAAATACTTAGGGACCGTATGCTTTCGTTGGGCCAGGGGATTCCCAGTCTAGCTACAGAAAACTGGAAAGGCTCACCTTCTGCAGAAGCTACTGGACCACTGTTACGATTGTCGTCTCCTCCTTTGCTCATCTGTGAGTTTGGTACCGCTTGAGGTATTCTCTGATACACAGGAGCTGAAGCACTGTTATCGAACGGCATCGGCTGGTTGGCGCTTGCAGGAACTGATGCGTTGTTGCTTGTTGGGATGTTGCAATGTCCTGGAGCCGGTGCCATGAAGCGACCGAATCCTGGCGTTTGCGCTACTTGTTGTGGAGGCGCTTGACGCGGAGCGGAATATTCAAAATGACCTTGCACTGCATTTGGCTGCAAACCAAATGCATTTTGTCAAACTTCGAAAATTACACTAAAAATCAAATGTATGTGTGTTTTTTTAAAATTGTATTGTTATTCAGATTGTATTACGATCTGCTCATCAGTACATGCGGTACTTGATCCAATATCTTAGTCTTTTTATCTTATTCACCTATGTCTGTTAAGGCTGCGCAGATAGCTGGTACCCCCATATCAGTCAAGGCAAATTCAGTGGACAGTTCTGTAAATTTTTACCGTCTTAAGCTTATTTTCAAAATTCTAGCCGGGTTTCCTGTGACGTATTATACCTTACTTTTTTGGGGTGGAGCAATAATTCCCTGAATTTCATCCGTAATCCTCAAAATATGGCTTCAAAATAACTTAGTTGAGTAATTCAAAACATCGATGCATCCCCATATGAATTTAATGTAATGAGAAGTGGAGAATTATCTGGCTACTTTGACAGTAACAAAAAACACAAAAAAACAGCAAACGGTGCCATTTATCGCACAGTTACTCCTAAACCTCATTTCTTAAGGATTCAACCGCAGCTCCATCAGAGGTTCTGATTCATCTGCAAGTTCCGATGCTACTAATACGTGAACCTAAATGAAGAAAGTCTTGGCCAAACCCTCTTGCCCTGAGCTATCTTATTCCTTTTTTTGCTCGTTATCTTCAACACACATGAGTACCATTACGCTCTTATACCATATTTTATGGCTCCTACCTTCCATTGAGATACCAGTCAATGATAACCAGCGAAGTAAACAACATGCGCTACCTTCTTCTGGAAGCCTTCATTTTCTTTAGTGGCCAACATGATTTCCTGCACACGGTTTTAGTGATGAACTAAGAAAATAACAATCAAAAGAATGCAAAAAAGGCTCATTTCCGTGATTCTTATTTTCTTCATTGCATTCCTGTTTTTTAGAATTTTCAACGTCGTCAGAAAACCAGAAATACTTTGTTGTATCGAGGCAATTGCAATATAGACGGTATCACCCACTTGGACTGGAACTGCTGGCGGTGTCCGCTGAACAGTTGCAGCAACCGTTGGACGGAAATATGGTGGTTGGATCATAGGCCGTGCTTGGTACGACATCATTGCTGCATAATACTGCTGCCATGCCTGCAATTGCTTACTGGCTTCTAACTTTTGATGCCCCCTATGAAAAATGAGCGAAAAAGGCTAAAGCTGCAAAATTTTCCCTCAAGATTTCACCTCTGAAAGCATGACCATGCTGTGCAGAAGCTCTTTTTGATGGCAACAAATATGACAGCAAACCTGCTGATATTGCATTATCATTGCCATATCATACTGCGGGTACGCTGGAGCTGGATATGTGGATAAAGCAGGTGGCGCAGTTTGAACCGCGGGGGCGGCAGCTGGAACTACAGGAGCTGGGGCTGGAACCACCGGAACGGCGGCTGGAACCACCGGAGCGGCGGCTGGAAATACCGGAGCAGCAGTTGTGGTACCAGTTCCATTCTGGATTCTTCCTTGGGCATTAGTCACCACTGCTGGGACGTAACCCAAAAAAGCGGATGCTGTAATATTGAAATGGTCTCAAATACTGAAATGTTACATTACTGGCACCGAATATCCATACTGGTTTTTTTGGGAACTGTAATTGCTTACGCTCCTAAGCAGTCCTAGTGTTCGAAACCGACAACCTTATTGCTTCAGGACCGTTAAGGCCAGGCAAAGGCTTACTTTTTCCAGGCGCTGTTTCATACTGCGCATTCTGCGGCTGCGATTTGCACTGCTCCGCCTGAGAAGATTCAGCCGAAGGTGTACTTTTATCTGCGCTCGGATTCTCCATCGGCTCTGGTATCAACAACAACACAGTAGTATTAATATAAGTG